AAGTGGCCAGCCAACTTTGTCAAGCGTACAGACAGTCTTACAACGCGTTTTAATCGGGCGTACGATAGGCAGAGAGCTCTATGTGAAGATCCAGTCTTAATTAAGAGCTGGTTTGAGCTTGTGGAGCAGACGAAGGCCAAGTATGGCATCTGTGACGAGGACGTCTACAACTTTGACGAAGCTGGCTTTTCAATGGGCAAGATTACCACTCAGCTTATCGTTACAGCATCAGAGAGAAGAGGCCGGCCAAAGGCTATCCAGCCAGGCGGCCGAGAGTGGGTGACGTTTATCGCTGGGATTAATGCAGCTGGCTGGTCTATCCCACCATTTCTCATCTTTACTGGCAAGCATCACCTATCTGCCTGGTATGAGGAGGCAGAGATCCCACGCGACTGGGCGATCGCAGTCAGCGATAACGGCTGGACGACTAACGAGCTAGGAGTTGAGTGGCTAAAGCACTTTGTCAAGCATACAGATGGCAAGGTTGTTGGGGCACGCCGGCTGCTTATCCTTGACGGCCATGAGAGCCACCAGTCACTTGAGTTCCAAGAGCTCTGTAAGGAGAACAATATCTACACACTCTGTATGCCACCACACTCATCTCATCTACTCCAGCCTCTTGACGTTGGCTGCTTCTCGCCGTTGAAGCGCGCGTATAGTCGTGAGGTAGAGAGCCTAATACGTAACCACATTAACCACATCACCAAGCTCGAGTTTCTGCCAGCGTTCAAGACAGCCTTTGATCGATCCTTCACACTAACTAATATCTGCTCAGCCTTTCGAGGCGCAGGTATTGTTCCTCTTCAGCCAGATGCTGTTCTATCAAAGCTAGACGTGCAGCTACGTACGCCTACTCCACCAGCTATTCTAGCAGAGGCTCTCTGGCAGGCTCGTACGCCTAGTAACACACGCGAGCTTGAAGCTCAATCGACATTAATACGTGATCGCGTTCAGCAGCATCAAGACTCATCGCCAGCTTCAATCATTGCGGCAATTAACCAGCTTAAGAAGGGGGCAGAAGTAATGATGCTCTCGGCTGAGCTAATGCGCGATCGAATTGCTACTCTTGAGAGAGCTAATACAGCAGTATCAGAGCGTCGAAAGCGTAAGAAAAAGCGGATACAGAAGCGAGGAGTCCTTACGAAGGGAGCTGGAGAGGATATACTCGCTTAACGCGAGGCCGATGAGCAGATTGCTTGTGAAGAGCGTCAGGGTGGGGAGCGATCAGGTGTCAGCCGCCGGGCTGTAACGCGCTGTAGTAGATGCAAAGAGACTGGCCATAACTCACGTACATGTAAGAAAGATACTCTAGATACTAATTAATCTACTGTGTCAATATCTATTGAAATTATCGATATGTGGTGGAGCTATACGCTTGTAGAGGTGTACAGAGTTGGTGGGGTGCGCCGCTCGCTTGCCTGCGCCGCTCGCTTGCCATACACGTTACTTCTCGTTTTACAAATTTGTCCAGATATAACAAACGTCCTTGTGTGTTAGTGTTGTTTAGTCTTATTCATCTTCTGGGATTCTATGGTCCAGTTGTACTTGTCAATTTATAGTTCTGAGCTAGATGGGCTAGTCGGTTGTCTCGACTTTTTTTTCTTTTCTCCCTTCTTCCCCCTCCTCCCCCCTTCTTGTCTGGACCTTCGTAACATGGTCCCAGGATCTTGGTTGTCGGGTTTCTCTTGTTTCTCGTTTCAGTTTCTCTAACACACTAGGTCTCCAGCATACGAGATGTTAATCTGGAGTCATGATTGTCTGCAACACATGGGACTGACTGGATGGGAGAAGAAAAAAAATACGGACATTTTACTCTTGTCCTCTCTCTTGTCCCGTCCTCCTTTACGAGATGACCACTAAAAAAAGAAAGAAAGGACATGAAGTACTAATTACAGATTTCACCCTATTTTCATGTCCGGATAATTGAACATAATGGGCTCATCTCGTCGACAATCCAGATCATCCGACTAGCGCATCTAGTTCCCTTCTTGACACCCCCAACCCATCCCGCCCAGTTCCCCCGTTAACCCCTTTCCCGTGATTCATATTGGTAGGTTGGGTTCGGGGCTGGGACCTAGTGAAGTAGTCCGGGGTACCTTGCTATAACGGCATCAACTACAGGCCTATACTAAGTCAATGTTCATATGCATGTTATCTGTGTACATATGTACTACACACATGTGAGTGAGTTTGAGTGTGTGTGTGTGGGCGTGCACTATCACACAGTAGTTCATTACTAGTAGTGTGTGCGTAAGGATTAAAGGGACAGGAGGGGAGGGTGAGGGCCCGCTACTATGTAGAACAGCGCCCCAGTAGAGGCAATATGACATCATTTTTATGCACACAGTGGCTTGCTGGTGTGTCTACGTATCTTGTAGCAGTTGGCTGAGTGGCTCGTATTCTCTGGAATTCGCAGCTGTCATGGTTAGGCCAAGGGTCGCGGCTAGCTTCTCTCTCTTTCTCGCTATTTCTTCAGCCCATTTTTTCGGAGTAGAGGCAGAAGGATTGCTGTAGGCTATTGTGCTGTTCGTATTTTCTATTGTGCTATTCGTATTCTCTATTGTAGTCGGAAGTCGGTCTCAGACTGTCGGCAAAGGGTTCTTGTTATCTTCCCTGTTTTTCTTGTTTTCGGTCGCTTTCCCCTCCCCACCTTTTTTTTCTCTCTAATTGCTTCACTTCTATGACGTGGAAAATGTACGTATGATGTAAAGAGTTGGAGACGAAAATTTCCAGCAAGCTCGCCATCATTTCGTCTGAAAATTCACTGTATACTTACTGGACAGGCAGATAGATGGACACACACACATACTAAACGAGACTGCATTTCCACCTAGGACCAGAAATGCCTAGTGTAAAGTTTGATACTGAAGAGGCCATATTATCCGACAAAACCCCCCTTTCCACAGGGATTATGCATTGATAGTACTGGAGTACACCGCTTTATGGTGCATCCAAGTACACATTAAGTAATTAGAAAAGGGTTAAACCTGTTGGGCACTATAGGTTGATACTAGTTTGCAGAGAAAGTTGGAGACTACCCCTCTTTCTTCGCAGCATGAAAAACCACCGACGGGTCGGTCATAATAAAAGGTTTCGGAGCAAAGACACGTATTAGTGCGCCATCGGGATTGCAGGCGATTAGCATGTTAGCATCGAATAAGAAAATCTTTTTATCGTAAAGCTAGTCTGAACACGACTCAGGGCCCAGGCTAGTGGGCGATCTTGTGGGGGGGAAAGGACTTTGACACTAGGAGTATTGAGAGGAGTCCGTCGACGACAATTTCTAGAAACGACTCGATGGCCGGTCCGAATGTTTCATGGTACGAGACGCTTTACTTGGGAACTTTTTGGGCCGCGGAACCGAGAACTAGAGTACAGTACAGATGTTATGCACGAAAAACGCAAGTGAGAGTATCTTTTTTTCTTTCTTTATCTCTGTTTCTCCATGTGTCTCCTGCTTTGGGAGAGTGGTGGGGCTGAGAGTAATAGTTTTTCCTCTCGGGCATGCCGCATGGGAGCTGGATTGCTGTGTAACGATATATTGGCAATATCAGCAGATGGAAGGTCTGAATGAAACTATGGACGGCATGATGTAAGTGGATTGCAGCAGATGCAAGCAGGCGTGTATATTCGGGCAGAGAGCCGAGTACTCGGAGCAGACATGTGGACGCCATTGGCTAGTGACGGCAAAGAGGACATGTGGTTCTTGTGTCGCCAACCACACCCATGGGTAGCATTTGATCCCGCACCAATGGCATGACATGAAAAAAAAAGCTTTTAATAGCCATGTGCCGACGGGTGGAGAGGGGTTGTTTGCAAGGTGGTGCAAGTAGTATGTGGCTTGCAGACAGCTGGAAGAATGGAGACAAATGCGGGTTCGGATTCGCAGGGTCAAAGGCGGGCCTGGGACGAGTGTGGCTAGTAGTGTCTCGATTGGGTGTTACGGGGCCTTGTGGTTGCACGAGGCCATGGGTATTGGAGACGTCATTGTGTACCATGTTCATGTATAGCATTTGTCAATTACCTATTGCGGTCACCGAGAGAGCTAGGGGGCCGCGATGTCGAGCAGACAATGGAGAGGAAGAAAATAGTCAAGGCGAAAATAGGCTAGGTGCAGAAACCCCAGAGATGGCATGGATGAGCCGAGGTGCGTTGCTGGCTGCAAAGTTGTTAGGGTAAAGAGAGGTTAAAGCTAAGAATAGCAATTATGGCCGGTAGCTAACCTGATTGGGATGCTAGGGCAATTGTGGCTTTTGGCAAAGTAGCCGGAGGCCGTATAGGTACGTACTACTCTACCGAGTGATGGGCTGGGAGTGGCTTTGTGGAGGCTCTGCCCGAGCGCGAAACGGGCCAGGTAGTAGTCGACGGGCGCTACAGTGTTAGTGAGATGGATTGGCGCTCGTATCTCGCGATGGCCGTTCTCGTTTCACCAGGAGGGCAAGAGGGAGCGAGGGGAGGGGAAGGGGAAGGAGAGAGTCAGAGGCGTGAATGAACAGCGGTTAGTGCAGGCGGAGGGTGTAACGGGCGTAGGCGCAAGCTCATCAGCATGTTCGGCGAGGACGTGGGAAAGGGAGGGGAGGGGGAAGAGCTTGGATTGGCGGCGGCCGTTGGGACGACATGGGACAGTGGGATGAAGAGTACACATGTGGTCAGGCGCCACGGCGGGCGGGCTCGCCTAAGTGGCAGCGTGGCAGGGCAAAGAGGCTCGCTGACTCATCTGGGCTGGCTGTGGCGGCGACGAGAGGGACGTGAGACTTTGTCCCTGGTCGAGCCACTAGAATAGAGCCGCTACTCGGACGGTCTGGCACGACTCGGCGCCGCGCGACGCAAATATAGCGGCGAGCGTGCAACGAGCGCGCGCAGCGTAGTATCGATAAAAAAAAAGTGAGGCCAGCGCGGCGGCCAAGAACAGGCTGAGTGGCCGGTAGACCCTTTGTGCGTTTGGACAGAGGGTGCAGAGTGCAGGCAAAGTGCAGTGTGCCGTCATCAGCACTCGCACGATGGCAGGTGACGCACTGAGGGCTATTTTTGACCTCGAGATATTGGACAGGCCCTGGCGTGCGCGCGCAGAGTTGTAGCAATGGCTGTCATTGGCATCAGCAGAAGGCTGTGCTGTGCGGTTTTGGAGCTGGAGGAGCTGGAGCGGGAGCGGGAGCTGGCGCTGGAAGTGGGAGCTGTGCAGAGTATGGTGGCCCACAGGCAGACAGGCCCTGGGACAGGAGACAGGAGGCAGGATGCAAACAGCCAGACAGGCCGGGCAGCAGCGCGCGCAGGCAGCGGCATCATGACTATCACGGCGATGGTGATGATGATGATGATGATGATGATGATGATGAGCATCAGCCCTCGAGCGTGGTGCAGGAAAATTTAGCAACGCTGGCCCCGAAGCTGACCCGGAGCCGATTGACACTGGTCTGGTTGCGCCCTGGCATTGGCACTGGCACTGGCACTGGTACTGGTACTGGTACTGGCGTGTACGACAGGCCAGGCAGGCACGACAGGCAGGGCCGGGCAGGCACGACAGGCAGCAAGGGCAGACAGGGCACGCGGGTTGTAGCTACCCGTTACAGCTTGGCCCAGCACGCTATCCGCCTGGCTACTGGTCGATCCTTCTCCACGCACGGCCCGCCACAGTGTTGGCCTGCCACAGCTCGGCGCTCCTCAATGGCCGTTTTTCACGCCTCTTGCGCGCTGAGCACCCCCGCTGCAAGCGGCTCATGCACCCACTCCTGCCACCGCCCACCTCCCACCGCCCACTGCCCACTGCACTAGACGACGCCCACCAGCGTCCGCACCAACGTCCGCACCAGCAACCGCACCAAATACCTCCCACTGCGCCCAGCCTGCTCCTTCATCGGCACCGGTACCGGCACCATGGCCGGCCTGCCCAAACCTCTCTCTCCTCTGTCTCTGCCTCTCCCACCCTGCTCACGGCCCTGCCAGGGGGACCGACACCCGCCTCGAGCACCACACCAGAGCCACCTTTTGCTGCAACCCCAGCTGACAACCAGAACTAGAGCCAGACCACACCTGTTACATGCTCCTGTCCGTCGCCTCAAGTTTCGCCGCGCAGGGGTCCTTCTCAATCCATTCCTGATTCTCCCACTCACTAACCAAGTCACTCACTCACGCACTCACTCACACACACACACACACCCCTCCCCACTATCCACCCATCCGTAGCTACATACATACGCAGTTGTACATATCCGTCCACGCTTGCATCCGCTCTCTCCTACCTGTCCCGCCCCCCAGGCTGGCTGCCCTCGGCTCAAGCCAAGCCATGGCGCCTGTCATGTAGTATGTACGTACATAGTCCATGTAGCTACGCCGGAACCTCTCGCTGCTGGCTACAAGCGAGGGGTCCATGGCCACTGGAAACAGAAGCTTAATCCCCACGGGAGTTACACCGGGGCCATGTCATACGAGCATGAGCCAGCCGGTCCCATACTGTGTGCATCAATCCATTAACTGTAGCTCCCGCAAGCTTCGCTGTAGTCCCTGCTAGCCTCCCTCCCCTCTGGTCGCCTGCTACCCAAATCCCTCCCACCCCCCTCCCCTCCGCCGCCCGTGGCGTCACTGCTATTTGTGTGGCCGCCATGTCTCTGCTAATCCTCCTTGGCCCCGTTTCTTCGTCTCCGTTGTCGTTGGCTGCCGAGCACAAGTCACTCTGCGCTTTTGCTCACATACCTCCAGCCTGGCGACCCTCTAGTCTCATAGCCTTGACCTGATCCTGCATGGTCGCGGTGCAGGGGGCAGCGTGCAGACGAGCTTGACCCCATCCGCTGTCACCTCGTCCTGTCGTACCCTCGTTGCCTGTCTGCCGGAGGCATCGCTGGCTTTTGCGTCAATATCTGGGCCAGCCCTAAAACTATCTAAGCTTATCCATCCTATCTGCACTCTGCACTCTGCACTATATATCACCACAAGCCCATCATAGTCACCCTGCCCAAAAACACCCTGTCCAATTTATTCACCGGTTTCGACCCCATTACCCTCGCTTTGTCAACTCTGCGCCACATCTACTACACCTGGGATACTTGCTCTCTCCCACACGCACACGCACACACACATACACACACAACAACAACACCACCACCACCACCACCACCACTCCTCAAGCCATCTCCAACCGACTTGTTCATATCACAATCCCACCTACACTGGGCCTCTGCAAGTCTAAACTGCGCAGTCCCACTCCATCTTCTCTCGATTCCTCCTCCCACTCGCTAAAACGACTCTGTCGACTTTCACCAAAACTAACAAAATGGCTGGACCTGGTGGTGGCCCTTCAAGGCGCAGCCATACCAAATCCCGAAAGGGTTGCAAAACCTGCAAGCGGAGACACATTCGCTGTGACGAGACATTTCCTCAATGGTAAACCACACAGGCCTTTTTTTTTCCTCTGTTTTTATCAATGCCCCGTCCACAGACTAACGACCACTCCAGTCGCAACTGCACGAAGCACCAAGTCCGCTGCGACTACATGGACAGTCCCACTGCCATGATGCCGGAATCTCCACAGTCTCCTCAACAGCCCAATCTGCTCTGGACGCCTGAGATTGAGGCCACCATCGAACTTTGGAGACAGACAGGGGAATTCCCCTTCCCAGAGCTTCGAGTCTACCCTCAGCCACAATGGCGTACCTTGACGACGGTTGATCTCCGTCTCATACACCACCTCTCTTCGATTTCCAACGAAATGTTCAGGAACAGGACCTCGAAATCGACTCTCTGGACCGACATGATGCCCAAGTACGCAGTGGACTGCCCTCACCTTTGCCAATCTGTCAAAACAATACTGACTTGTCTAGATTCTTGAGCATTGCCGCGTCCCATCCATTCGTTATGCATAGCATTCTCGCTTTTTCTGCCTCGCATCTTGCCTGGATCTCTCAGTCGGCTGAAACACGCAACCTTGCCTTCCACCACGCAAGTCTTGCCCTCAAGGGCCTGCACGACGGCATCACCAACTTTACTAAACACAACTCAGACGCAGTACTTGCGTCTTCTCTTCTACTTGCATGGCAGGCGACGGACTGGTGAGGATACTCCCCCCGACCGAGTTGTTGAGTCACAGCTAACAACAGGCACACAGGCGAGGCTGGGCTTCTCTGGTTACCGGTACAAAAACAGTAGGTTGAACCCGGCAGACCTGCAGATGCACAAGCTAAAAGTAGAATCAGGTAATACAGTCCATGCAGCCCTGGAGGCACGAATCTCTCTTTGCAGACTACATCGCAGAGCATACTCCTATGCCTGACCGACATTTCATGAACCCCGCCAGTACACCAATATCGCCAGAAGCACACAGGGAGCACATCAACACTCTTGTCGACATCCATGCCTCTCTACAACGCCTACAGCCCTACTTGGTTCACAACGAACAGGAGTCGAAATGGGTAGAGCAGCTCAAAGGCTACCTCGACCGCCTGAGATCGTCGGGTCAAGCACAAAGCCCAGAAGAACAATTCAACCAGTTGTATGCCCTACGCAAGTGGCTATTCTGGGTCCCGATTTCACTTTTGGCTGCAAAACGTGGAGACATCGTCGTACTGGTTATCCTAGCGCACTTCTACGCTACCGCATTGGCCTTGGAGCCCATGTTCCCCGATGTTGCGTCCGTCTTTGTCGCAGACCTGTCTGTTCGTCCACTGGAAGAAATTACGCAGCTTGTCCAGGCATTCCAAGACCCACGATATGATTCACACATACAGACCATGTCCTACCTGGTACGATTCCCCATGGACATGGCAACATCATACAAAGGGAGACGCGAATGGGCAAGGCAACAAAGCATGGCCATGCCGCCAATGCAGCAGCAATCGAGTTATCCGCTAGAGTCGATCAACCAGGACCTAGAGAACCAAATTGCTCAGTACAGCTACGGTCAGAGCCAGAGCCTCTCTCCCGCTTTTGCACCGTCGCCTCTGACATTTCTTCCGGCTGGCATGACTTCTACGCCCACATCACCATATCTTGAAGTACCTCGGTCGTCAACAGCGGTGGATGCGTACGGGACGGCTAGCAGCTATGCGTCGTCAAACAGCTACGCGTCTCCGCTCGGGTCACCGGTAGCGCTGCTGCCGCCATACTCAGCCCCGCAGGAGCATGCAATCTCATTCGGAATGCCATCGGGCTATCCCAGCGGGTTGGTGGCTACACCTATCTGGACATGAACGAAGGCACGCTGAACGAACCCCCAGGAACCAAATGAATGCTGCTCCAATGCAGGCGACGGCTTCACAGGTGCATTATCACATTCCTTTGCCCAATGCAGCAGGCCGGCAGGAGCAGACACCAACTGCGGGGTATGCGCCAAACCAATACAATCAGGCCTGAGCACCGTTATTTCCCAGATTCGAGAAATCGCACCGACAAGATGAAACGCGACATCCGCCCGGCCCGTTGTCGTCATCTCCACTGCAGCATGGACGGCGAGGACAATTTCCGATCGATTGGCCTAGGGCCATGGAAGGGGAGGGGGGGTGGAGGTGGTGCATGGGGCCACACACGGTCAGGCTCAAGTTGGTCCGATGACATGGACTCAGTTGCAAGTTGCAAGCTGTCGAGAGCTTTTGCAGTAGTCGGCTTTGGGCCTGGCGGCGGCGGGGCTTCGGCGCAACAGCTGGGGGAGCGCAAGATGGAAAGGTTTAGCGAACCGGCATGTTCTGCACGGACATGCGACAAGGCCGCCCTATCCTGTTACGTCAACGCAACTAATCCGGCGTTCGCTTATGTACGTGTGGAAAAGTAGGCACATGGAGCTGGCGGGAAGAGGCCCAGCGAGGCAGAGGCTGGCAGCAGAAGCGGGAGGGGCTGGAAGGAACAGGGCAGCAACCGACACCGGCGATTGCTGTTTTGACGCGGAGTTGGGTGCAAGCTCAACATCATCTCAGACAATAGACATGTGTAATGAAGAAGAATGTGTATCATGGCAAGTGGAGCGACGGCTATAAGCAGCCAATTGCGCAATGTCCCCTTTTTTTTTTCTCTCTTTCTTTCTAGATGCCTTGCCGTGATGCCCCCACGTCCGCTGAGAGAAGATATTTTGCACATGCTAGTTAGTACACATGTACATGGAGACTACAAAGGCAAGCAGCGTGGTTGCAAAGCCCAAGACTGGCCAACGGGATGGCAAGCGGATGGCGGGATACTCAGTTGGGAATGGATACAAGAATTAAGGTTGTCGGTGTGGTGCTAGTCGCTCAGCCCTAGTGACCTTTTCCCCTTGCGACGGTCCTGGTTTGCCCTGCGTTTTCGCGTCGACGATTAGCAGGCCACTTGCCATGTATAGTCATTTTAGAGCCAATGGGCAGTAAGCGGCACACGAACCCTTGTTATGCCTAACCCAGCGCGCCGGCTTTACGTACTAGCATGGTGGCAGCAAAACAGGACCATGGATGGTGCGTTACAACAGCTGTTTTCCCCGACGCCAAGGCTTAGCGTCGAGGCATCGCCTAGGCCTGCTGGCACTTGTTCCCAAGGCGCGTATACAGACATGTGCATGTACAGGTTCAAAGGCGGCCGTCGTACGATGCACAAAGGCAATCGCACGCTAGCGTATGACCTACAGCAGAACCGGGATCACGCGTGATGTCATTCCAGTCGGCCGGTTCGGTTTGGGCGGGTAGTGGAACCCCAGCCTGTTCGCGGGCGCACCGCCACGCGTCGACTGACTGGACCACCTCGCCAGCCTGCTTCGGGGCTTAATTGCGAAGAGTCAGTGGCAGTACCAAACTGCCACAGTGCCAGCACCGCCACATGCCCCCAGCCGAGTCTCGACGTTGCTGGTTGCCCTCCACCTCGACGATCTTTCTGTCGCGTAGCTTTTCCTCCTGCACACATGCGTGCGTCAATGCTTGAAACCCGCGCTTAGCAAATCCTTTTGCACCCCCCCAGCCCCCGCGCAACCAACCGTCCAACGCGATACGCGAGAATCCTCCTGCCCTGCCCTGCCCTCGTAACTGCAGCCACCATACACTCACTGTGTCGTCTACGTGCCTCAGGAGTTTGAACTGCGTCACATCATATACCTACCTATACATGTGCCCCAACAGCTTTTACCCACATGGCACCCACATGGCTAGCCATTCGGCACCAAGTGCTTAGCTCACACACCATGCCAGACCCTAACCAAGTCGACCCATTGCCTCGGATCCCCGGGATTCTTGCGTGTCCTGGTAGGCAAGAGAGAGAAGGAAGGAAACAAAGAAAGAAAGAAAGAGAGAAAGAGAGAAAGAGAGAAGACTGTGCTATATTCCGAGGCTGCCCAAGGCACATTGCCCGCTGCCCTGCAAGGTTTCAGACGCTCTTCACCAGGTACTTACACATGTGCCAACATGACAAGCCCTACAGATACCCAATCCGCCCCTGATCACCTTTTGGTGTCCTTGTTTGTGGATAACGAGGGACCAAAATGGCAGCTTCCCAGCCGTTTTCGTACAATCACAGACGGGATATCTGTTTGTCAGACCCACAAGATATGTCTGCCGTTGAGCCTCAGGCCTTCCGCTCCGTAGCTGATTTGGGCTCCGTCTTCTCTATCCGAGTCTCTAAAATTGCTTGTTTGCCACAAAAGACCCATCAGCGAGCATGCTGAGAGTTCCACCGTTGTCGCTGCATCCCGCGGCCCCTCATTGGAGCCTCAAGAAGCTGCATGGGTGTCGAGGCTTAGTTTCGCGCCGCAGTTGTGACCAATCAGTGCGCTGTCTGCGTAAGAGACCACCTACTCATTGACCGCTACTCAGCGATCTGTACATCTTTACTCGGCCGAGTCTACATCGTGATGTGCTTTGCTTACGTGCGTAAACTATCTTTTAAACACTAGCACACTTCAGGTGATTGATAATTTTCTATTTCTGGGGCAACAACGCGCTTCCACTCCCTCTGCCGGAGGCCAGAATGCGGCACTTCGGGTTTTCGCATCAGTTCCCCCCGAAAATAGTAACGTTCGGCGTCGAAGGGTGGAAGAAGCAATCTGCCAATATGATGTGTGCATATAACCTTTGGCTCAAGACGCTTGCGTCCAAGGCAAGCACAATCAGTTGATTCACTAATTGCCCTTCCACTGACTGAGAGTGTTCGTGTGGCGTAACGGCTCGCTCATCTCTGGGTGCCACCGCCCGTGTCCCAAGTTTTTCTCCGGAACATTTCTTTCTCCCCTTCCGCTCGCACGCACCCACCATCGCACGTTCCGGAGCTGCCCTGCCAGGCTCATCAAACTCCTGAGGAAATCTGCGCTCACACCATCACACCGGTTCCATGCACAAGCATGCGATCTGACTGCCGAATTCAACTACCCATGTGTGTCTACCTACGCGTGTGCCACGATTCAAGCGACCTTTTTCTTAGTCCCGCCCAGGTCTTGGTACAACCTACTGCGCCACGGCGAATCAAGACTGACCCTAGTCGTTCCGCCATCAGAACACTACTCCCGTTACTGTCACCATCACCACTACTGCCATGCACACGTGCTGTCGCTGGAGAAAAAGTTACATCTCTAGCGGAAGCGGAGATGCGCACCACGCAGCGATCGACAACCTTTGAATGCACCAAGTCGTTCCATTCTGCAACGTGTGGCGCTAAGAGTTTCTAGGAAGAACATTTTTCTAGCTAACCTTTTACAACAGGGTTTAGTTCATCAAGCTGCCTTGTATGGTGGCGATCTCACACATGGAACCACACCTAGCGTCACTATCCTGCGATAGCCTCAACCTACTCGGCGTCCAAGGCTTAGATGTGCCGGGTCAATAAGCCCGAGCATTATAGGGGCTAATGTGATAGCAGATGCTAGCGTCTGTATCGTGATGATGAACCATAGCTCTCAGAATTATAAGCTAACGGGACGCGCCGCATGCCCGCAAAAGAAAGGGAGATACGAGGTCGGAGACTTACCATCTCAAGATGTGTATACACGTGTCTGCTGCAGTGGGTAGTGGCAATTCCTGTCACTTGCCGGCCCTGCGACTTGCAGAACCTGGGTTTGGGGCCTCCTTCTCGAGATTCTTGCCTCTTCGGAGCGTGCTGCTTATATTGCTCTTACAATCTGGATCGTCTAGCTTACATAACCTGCATTCATTTCCAGGCGATGGCGGCTGTAGAGGCCTCGCCCCAAGCTCGGGTCGCGTCACGTGGATAAGTCGGAGAGAATTGGTATACCCTCTTGGAAAACTCAAGTTAAGCGACATCTTTTTCTCTCCCTTTTCCCTATTCCTCTGTTTCTCAAAAGATATAGGAGGTCTGGAATTACGTGTACCGGGGTACGTGTTAGCCATGTGCTACACTCTTCGGCCCGGTTTTCGAGGGAGAAACGTGGTCAACTGTACCGAGCCATGCTGCGCAATATCTGCAAAATGGTTGACATGGTCCTTTGTAAATGATTCATGCACCAGGATCGCTTCGCGAATATCCCTGGTTCGACACTGACCCTCTTGGTATCTCGAGTCTGTCAAGGGAGGAGAGGAGATATGACAAGGTTTGTGTGTGGCACAATCGCTTGCGGCGGATGATGTTTCGTTTCGAATATGATACTCTATTCCTTTTACCACTGTCAAAGCACGTAAGCCCAGGTTGCAAGGACTCCATTACCCCAGTCAACCCGGCAGTTGTCTGCTCACAGCCAAGGACGCTGGCCGACTCGTCTGTAAGCAACCGACGATGTCCAGCATTTGTAATCAGGGAGACGTCATCCCGGATTATACGCTGTATTTCTGACAAGAGCCTTTTTTTCTCTTCCTTCACAGCACATATCAGGCGAAGTATGACAGTCCGCTAATGTGTTGTTGACATGCATTCGACCCTTGCCGAGCTTAAAGCCAAATTGAACAAGACGGGCGTCAAGGCTAATGTCAATTGGCGGACCGCCCAACAGCCTAATACCACAAGTTGCGCTTACAACAAGGGAATTTACAAGGTGGCAAAGGATTCCGTTTTGCATCTATCTACCTAGCAATTGCATACAACCCTGTATGCATCTCCTCATATACATATTACGCAAGAAATATACTTAGATGATATTCACTCAAGATTCATACGCACACTATATAGTTCTATTCACACTCCACCACTATCCCACCTTACCCCTCTCCATCTCTTTTCTACTCACCAGCCCTGAATTCCGCGCCCTCAGCTCGACCGAGAATGAAACGGAACATGATCTCCGGTATTCCTCCAAAGTACAGGAAATTACACATGAGTAAAGTGTTTCGCTCCTGTTAGTTGCAGGTCTGCACATCTGCGGATATGCCGGACTAGCTAGCTTTACGAGAATTAAGACAACATACATTCTTCCGTGAAAGACAAAGTATGACAGGCAACAATATAGCTTATATATCGCCATGTGGTGAGCTAGATTTATAGATGTGGGAAGATCATGAAGAAGAAATGTAACTTTTTAAATTGGTTACCCTTGTTATCATGACTTTATAAGACAGACGTTGCAGTTTGTGGGGAAACTTACTAACAACACATATACAACTCAGGTTGGCTATAGAGCAATCTTTTCAGTACTCATATGCAGAAACAAAGCTTCGCATGTCTGGTTCTTCGCATTGAATCGAGCTATAGCATTGCATGTGCGGAATAGGAATGCTGCCTTGGAAACTAATTTTTCTTTCTTCGTGATCGAGGAGATGCAGGTGCGGTGCATGGGAGATAAGAATATGTGCATGCGGCAGTCGCTTTGACTGGGAGGTTTGAAAGCTTATTCGAGCGTTGGTCTAGTAGGATATTTTTCAGATGGTGTTGCGGTGCGTGTTGGTGTTCTATTTCAGGGGCTTTTGTAAAGAAGTGTGATTGCAGTTCATGATACGAAGGTGACCTACCACAGCGAAGTAGTCAGAACACGAAACGTTTGAACAAAGAAGTCGAGAAGAATTCGCAGTAACCATGAGTAAATGTACATCTGCATATATGTACATATAAGAGCTAACATCCTGAGAGCATGCTTTGGCTTCTCCCCCCTCCTCTCTCTCGTTTGATGCCGCAACTGTTTGGCATACTTTTCAATTCACTTAACACAACTTGTAACAGATGAGAGTCATACTATATGCCAAGTTATGCAGCAAAAATATCTATTATTAAAAATTTTGGTTGCGCACTAATGCACTTGTTCAATAACTCGCAGATACCACCACTAATTGGTTGACCTTGGACCCTAGCAATGAAAAAAACTTAGTCTAGTCGAACTGACAACGCATAAAATATCTATGTATAGCAACTGTAAGAGAACTAGTAGCAGGCAACATGCCTGCAATTGCACCTACGTCCGTGGACCACGACACCATCAGACAGTGATCTTTACATAGCCCAATCCGACCAAGTCGAAACTAGTTCAACAGCATTTAGCTGTGACAAGCGTATGCAATTCACGAATAAAGTTCTGAATTACTAGCGGAGACAGAATTTACGTCACATTAGTAAAGCATCGTACGTGCTTTTGCGCAGTGGTCTGATACTCTACAAAACGGAGAGGCCTGCCCTGATGATCGACGCGGGATAGTAAGACGGGCTAGCTGGTTTATTTTATCGATATAGGACATCACATACAGCTGGCTCTTGATCTGCGCATATATGGCATGATGCCAACCTTGAGTCAGGTCAAGCTATAGCGCGCAAAGCCAACGCTTTGTCATTAGCTCGGAGCGGAACAATCATGCCATTTTGATTTCAACGTGTGCCGATGACGATATGAATAGTGTGATACATTAGTCTAGAGTCGGAAAGATCTGTGCTCAAACGGAGAGAGCCCAGAATATGGACGAAACTACCATGGTACCTAGGTACTTCTGTGTCTATTACGTACATGTGTCACCTTTTCCTCAAAAAGATCAGGCTGCAGGCACTTGTAACACCCATGACCTTGTATCAGCACGGCCATCGCTAATATCCGTAGCAAAGCTCAAATTTTCTGCTTGGGCATTTGGACGCTTTCTTAGTTCCAATTAAAGTTTGGGAATACCCAGAGGTCATGCATGTGATGCTGAATAAGGAACAACAGCGGCAAATAGGGACAAGTCTTGCATAAACTTCAAGCTACGGTAGATTTGACAACAAGCAAGTAACAAGGCCACGAGTTGTATACCGAAAAAGGCTAAAAAACCTTAATTGCACGACAGGGCTCAGCAAAAGTCAAACCGCGATGTGCTGCGCACCTGGTACGATCTATACTTGACATAGCGGGGTTCTCGGAACGGTTCCGACCGCGGGCCGATGTGATCCCGGCGGTAGGCGCCGATGGCGTAAGAGCCATCAGCGACAACACATTACCAGCAAAAGCAACCTTGCCTTCAAACGCAATCATGTCTGGAGGCTGGAACACTATAGAGTCCGATGCTGTTAGTGCACCGCCACCTGCACCAGAAAATCCTCTTCAGCTACTGACTCGCGCAGGGCGTATTCACCTATCTGATCGAGAAGCTCGGTGTTAAGGACGTACAGTTTGAAGAGCTCACCACACTCGAAGCATCAGACCTGCAAAATCTCGGTACAATCTATGGCGTCATCTTCCTCTTCAAATACCCTACTGGCGAGAAGCCCAGCGATGTACCAAAGGACGGCACCTACGACTACGAGGCGGCAAGCTCCATCTTCTTCCCGGCGCAAACCATACAGAATGCCTGCGGAACACAGGCGATAGTATCGCTTCTATTGAACAGGGAAGAGGAGATTGATATCGGCAAGGAGCTGAGAGAGTTCAAGGAGTTTGCGGGTGACTTCCCACCAGACGTATGTTGAACTGACGATGATGTCTTGCGACATATGCTAACTCAGGCAAAAGCTCCGTGGCGAGACTCTCTCCAACTCCGACCTCATCCGCGAAACACACAACTCATTTGCACGCTCCTCGCCCTTCATCGACGAGACGCAGCGAACAGCAACCGAAGATGACGATGTATTCCACTTCATCGCGTAAGCATTCCACCCCTTGCTCAAGCCAAAAAAAAACACCCCCCATCCATCCTCGAGCGCACAACTAATGCATGACTCTACCAGCTACACAAGCATAAATAACAAACTCTACGAACTCGACGGCCTCCAACCAGCGCCCATTTCCCATGGACCCTGCACTTCTTCAGAATTCCCCCAGAAGATCATCCCCGTACTTCAACGCCGCATCGCCCGCTACCCGGCCACCGAAATTCGCTTCAACCTCATGGCCTGCTGTCGCGACCTGCGTATCCGCGCCCGAGAGATTGGAGACGAAGAAGAGTTGGAGGAGCAAGAAGATAAGCGCGCAAGATGGCTGTGGGAGAACTCGTTGCGAAGGCATAACTTCGTGGGCTTTGTGGGCGAGCTGCTGAAGAGCGTTGTGAGGGCAAAGTTGGACCAAGGTGGCGATGCGTATGACAAGTGGGTTGAAGAGGCCAAGGGAAGGTCGGCTAAGAGGAGGGAGGACCTGAGGAAACAGGGTATTGCGGAGGATTGAGAGGAATGAGAGGTGGCACTGTCGTTGTGTGGTGGTAATGCAAGCAGGATCGGGTTTTTTTTACGTATGATGACGCTGCATATACATGTCTAAACACATGTGCAGTAGCTCTGATGATTGCCCAAACCTCCCATTTCGGATAGCACGATACACAGATGAAACAGTACATGCAGAGTTACCTTCTTGCAGTCTTGCAAGAACTATTCACAACCCCGCTTATAGTCTGTCATGGTGGTTTCACTTCCCGCCTCTGGCAATCCGCACATTTCCACATACACCAGCAAGATGCAAGGTAGAAAAAAAAAGAATCACGATGATGAGATAATAGTTGATATTTAGGATCATACTACGTCCTTCAAAAGGCTGTCATCTACTAAATACCCTCATCTCGCATCCATCCTCATGATCCAACAACAATGGACACTCCAACAGAGATAAATTAAAAAAAAAACACAATTCCAGCTAGATCCTATAAACGCCATTTTCGCTATGCTAGCTCGATAGTCTGGGGGAGGGATATATGCGCTTCGCTACATTACTTCATAAACGTGGTACGGTATGGTATCGGTAAGGCCATGGGATGATGAGAGAAAAGGGAAACCGAGAAAAAAAAAGGAACAAAGGAAACATGAGCTAATGTCTATGTCGAAATATGACATTTACAGCTCACTTACTGCGCAGTAGGCAGGGGGAGCCTGGAGGACAACAGGCTCCATGGCACATGAAGGGCCTTCAGACAAAACGTAGTCGGTGGTGGGGGTGTCCTGAGTGACGGGTGCAGCTTGCTCCGCAGTCTCTACAGATTCTACAGACTCCACGGACTCGACAGTCTCGACAGACTCCACAAGCTCGATTGCACGGCTTGTAGGCTGTGCGTCCTGAACTTCCAGAACTGCTTCGGCAACGACATCTTCAACCTTCTCCTCAACGTCAGGTACAGATGCAGGCACAGGTACAGGTGCAGCAGTCTCCACCATGCTGATCACAGTCTGAGACTCGGTGACGGTGAGAGTAGAGTAAGAGGTAGCCGTCATAGTCGCAGTAACAGCACTCGGCATTGAAGCGGCCATGACAACGTCAGTGGGCAGCTGGAGCATGTGTGCGGCTGAAGAATCTTGTTGAATCGCGTGCATGCTCATGGCCAAGTACACAACGGCAGCTCCAAGCAGAGCAATAACCATATTACGCTTGTCACCCAGCAGAACAAGGGCATAGTTCTTGAGAAGGGTGCTGAGTGGGACTTCCGACGATGAACGTGAATGGGCAGCTTCTTGGAGTGCAGCCTCGGCCCTTTCTTTCTCTTTGACAGCGTTTTCCAAGGCACGGAGACGGTCAGCGACGGCATCGGACTCGGCGAGAGCCTTAGCCTCCAACTCCAGACGCACAGCTTCTTTGGCTTCCTCCAACTTAGCCCGGAGGTCTTCCTCAAACTTCTTCTTCTCTGCGGCCTTTTCTTCGATGCTTCGTCGTAGCGCTGCAGCAGCCTCTTCGAAACTCTTTTGCAACTCAGCCTCTTCCTTACGCTTCTTCTCATTGGCCTCCTCTTCTAGAATCTTTGTCTTGGCAGCAGCTTCTTGTATTTGCCGTTGAAGCTCTACAGTGTATTGCTGCTTGCGCTGGTCTGCCTCAAGTTCCTCGCGTGCTCGTTTCTCCAACGTCTTGCGAACTTCCTCTGGAACCCAGGGGTGGATCTCAACATCACAACGTTCCATGTCGTTCCAGCACGCACCCCATGCCGCGGAACGCATCAGTCCGTTGGCGGCGTAAATCTTGATGTCCCACTTCCTTGTACCTGCACCGATGCCCTTACCTGGCTTCTTGAGTTGGCGGTGGCAGTCGATGCACATGCTGTGGTCGCCGTTGGCAGACGTGTTGCTGCCCTCGGTAAGTGTTCCTCCACTCATTCGGCTACCCCGTCCGGTATTCTCATCACCAATGCTGGCTGTGTCGTCGTCATCTTCCCGGTCATCGTCGTCTTCGGGTGGTACAAAGTGTCCACATGGAAGTAGTCGGGGCGTCTTGAGCTCAAGGCTCTCCAGGATGCGTTCCTCGAGCAAGTCGTACTCGTCTCTTGGATGTGGAATGAGAAGACCACGGCGCATCAGGATGATGTCCTGCAGCTTCTCCTCTAACAGCTTGTAGTTCTCGACCAGCCAGTCGGGCATGATCCTTGCCATGATGTCGTGCGAGTAGGGTAACTGCATTGGCAGGATGGTGACGTGCAACAGAACCAGTGGAGCCTGCTGTGGAGCCGGCATGGGCCTCGGACTGTGAGGTTCGCGTATGCTTCTCCTCCTCGAGCCAGAGTGCCTTGAGCCTGGCGTCTCGGCTCCCGCATTTCTGTTTGGCGTAGTCAACTTGTACGAGGCCTTTAACCGCTCGTGGGAAGACTGGTGCGCTAGCAGAGGCGGAGGCGAGGACATCTGCATGGCGCGTACAGAGTCTGAGTTGCGGAAGCGAGGCCGCTCCTTACGAGCTCGTGCACCAGCTTCATTCGCTGGCAAGATGGGCTTTGAGGATATCGAGGTTTCTGAGGGAATAGCCGAGACGAAGCTGTAGTGCGACGACATCCGTTGCTGTGAGCCGGGCCGAGATGTGTAGGAGCTTCGGTAGGGCTGGGGCTCGTCGTCGGGTTCCTGGGACTGCTGCTGCTGCTGGAGCTCGATGGTGTGGACGACGTCGTTGGGGAATGAGCGTTCAGAGTGAAAAGAGTCGCCTTCTTCATACATGTCAGAAGGCGACAAGGGTTCGCGATCCTGTGGGTCCTCGTAGACGGCAAAAGAGGTAAGACCTGCCGGCGGCTGGGGGGCGGGGTGGTGCATAGTAGTCATAGCGGCGGGCCTCTGCTCGGTTGCTTGTACGACGGTCGTGGAAGCGGATGCAGTAGCAGGCTCAGCAGTACCGTGGGAGTGAAGAGATGGGAGAGGGAAGAGAGGGGGAGAGGGGCATTGGCGGTGTTGTCTACGAAAAGGATGCGAGGCAACAGGTCAGGGATGCCATTGTGAATTTCACAGAGCTGGTCGTCTTGGTGCGTGGTCACCCGCCCGCGTCTGTCTGGCGAGGTTGGGACACTAGTGGGATGCGCTGGCGACGTGTCAGAAGAGTGCTGGTGATTGTTTACCTCACCGACACTTTTGGCGGGGCGTTTGCTGTGCGCGTAACCGGATGTGTACGGTAACGGCACGTAGCTTCTTGCCAGCCCCATCCTTTCCCTGCCACTCTGCAACGGCTTCATGCTTCCCACTGGCCCGCCCGCTGCATCCTCTCCAGCGTACCCATCTGTTTGCTGGTCACGCACATGAACGATTGGCCTTTGACAGCGTGCAGCCGCCTTCAATATGCAGGTCTACAGCCTCACCTTGTATACCATGAACCTTTGTACCCGCGCCTGGCGATGGCCTTGTACATACTTGTACTACTAAGTACTACTCTGCTCTACTTATCGGGTCGTGCGGGATAAACCCCGAAACGTGCTCGTCACGTGATGTGCTTAATCACCTAGCAGCATCGCCGCACACCGTAAGGTGAAACTCGTCAAATCCCTTTTCCCTGCATCTCCTCTAGTAGGTGGTCTAGATGCTCATCATACCACAATCTAGTACACCGCCCGACTGATCACGCACGCATGCTACATATATTATCAACACAACAAGCGCGACCTTTGACATGGGAATGCGTGGCTTGTATAATCTGTACATGTAGCAAACAGCAGTGCAAACCATACAACCAGTAGCAAGCAAGAGGTGACTCCTCACACAGTACAAAGCTCCTGAAAGCGAACATCATTTTCTCTTGATACTCATATACATATGCGTCGCAAACAAATCTCTTCTTCTATTTCTGTCTCATCCAAGAAACTGCCTGTACATATTCCTCTACAACTCGTCCTTCTCCTTATTCTGCTCTATCGCCTTGTTGAGCGCTGCGAGAATCTCCTCTTGTGTTGCGTCTTCGGGGACATTCAATTGCTTCAGGATGCTCCCCTTATCGCCTTTGCCTCCAAAGTTCTTAAGCTTGATCCCATCGGCATCTATGCCCGCCTTCTTGAGCGCCTCCTGTAGCTCCTCATCGCTCGTGCCCTTGCTTTCCTTCTCAGTCTCCTTGCTATCACCCTTGGCCTTGTTAGCCTTCTTAGACTTGCCATTCTTAGTCTTGGGCTTGGTGGTCTTGGGCTTTTGCTGGTTCGGCGGCTTGAAGTGCTTCATCTTCTTCATCATCATATCCATGATTATATCGTCCATCTTCTTCTTCTCCGCCTGAACTTCCTTGACTGTGAACGCAGGGTCGTCAGTCTCGCCAAGCTTGCTCTGCTTTGCCTCATTCTCCTCGAGCCAGGTTTGGGCCTTAGATGCAGCGTCCTGCACAGCCTTTAGATCAGACTCTGTGTAGATGGTAGGTACTTCGGTAATTTCAGGCTCAGCCGGTGTCTTTTCCTCGTCGAGCTCGTCCATAGGGTCCGTGGATGGAGATGCAGACGCTTGAGCCACAGCCTCGCTGCTCTTAGAGCTCTCCGCTATCTGTGTCTTAATCTGTCCGTCAACAAGCTGCTCAACTTCCTTGATGTGATCAATGGTATCTTTGAGCTCCTTGAGGGCCTCTGGGCGCTTGGATGCTTCGGTCTTGCGGTTGAGAACAGGCTTAACGAGGTCCTCAAGCTCCTTTAGCTTGCTTCGGAGCGTCTGCTCATCCGCCTCTGCACCTTCTGCATAGAGCCAATCTGAGGTGGTACCAAGTTTCTCCTCGAGAGTAGAGCGAACCGCCGAAGTGGATGCACTAATGAACGGCTCATCCTCTAGATAGTCGCGTGCGCGGTATGTGAAGGCTTCCAGTGAGTTAAGAACCTCTTCACGAGCGCGACGGGCCTTGTCTGACGCATCGAAAGCAGCGAGCCTGTCTCTTGTCAATTTTCTGGAAAATTAAATAAAGTGCATTCAGCAAAGACGGATCTTACCTGTCTTGCATCCTCTTGAACTCCTTACGAGGAATCTTCTTGTAACCTAGCTCCACAACATCAAAAGTATGAGCAGACTTGACGACCTTAATCTTCTTTTCGGTAGCTTTGGCGGCATCAGTGCTCTCGGCATCAGCAGATGACGACGAGGAAGAAGAGGCAGAAGAGGCAGAAGATTTGGACGCAGATGATGAAGAACTTTCGTCCTCTTTCAGGGCTTCCTGATCCTTCTTGCCACCCATGCCGAACAAGTTCTTCACACCATCGACGATACCAGCCTTGGGCTCTTCAGACTCGCTTTCGCAAGTGACCCAAGCAGAGAGAACTTCAGGGGTACCAGTGATGGGGCTTAGTCTGACCTTGACGTAATTGTTGAAGCTTTCGCGATCACACTTGTCCTCGTCAATCATCTTGGTAATAACTCTGGTCAAGTTACCACTCTTGAACTGAAGAGTAGGCTCTTTTGAGACGGCACCTTTGGCTCCAGGCACAGCCTGGTACATGGAGAACTCGAACTCGCCCATCATTTGGAAAGGCAGATCCTTGACCATGCCGATTTTGGTGTTGGGTGTGAATATTTTCTGGTCGCGATCCTTCAGGTCAAACATGTACTTGTAACCGTGGTTGTAGCCCTGGGTGTCCAACTCGCGAATCTCCTTGACACGGAAAGAGGGACTCAGGCTAGCAGCCTTGAAGGCAGCGCCGAAAACAGCGGCTTCATCGGAGTTAACATTAGCCCTGATCTTGCCCTTTCCAGCAATTGCCTCAAGACGAGCCTGAACAAAGGGAGTACGGCTTGCACCACCATGGACAATAACAGAGTCAATATCAGCCAGGGTAAGACCAGCAGCTTCAAGAGCTCGGTTGATGGGGCCATCAACACGTTCAGCATAGGCTGTTGCAAGCTCCTCAAACTTGGTACGAGTGAGCTTGTACCTGAAGTCAACGTCCTCGTAAAAGCTTTCGAAGAAAGCAGATGTGTCCTTGTTGGCGCTAAGCATCTGGCGAATCTTCTCTGCCTCCTTGAAAAGCTTGGCGGCAGTACGTCCGTGAGTCTTAACCTGCTGAGCTGTGAAAGATGCGCTCTTGGCCGCAGGAAGCTCGATGAATGTAGAAACCATATCATCGACAATTAGCGAGTTCAACGCATCGCCTCCAAGCGTCCTGTCCCATCCGGTACCCATGACTTGAACTTCCTGGATAGTCTTGGTGCGCTTGCCTGCGTCCTTGACCGAACGGCCCTGGAACTTGACAATTGTGGCAGACGCTGAACCGGCGCCCATGTCGAATACCATGTTGATTTCTGGCTTGCCATCTTTGGTGATATCAGGGAACGTCCTGCTGGTGGCATAGTTGAGACCAACAGCTAAACCATCGGAAATAACGCTAAGAACCTTGAGGCCTGCCAGCCGGGATGCGACCTCTAATGCGCGCCTTTCGGACACAGTGTAGAAGGCTGGGACGGTAAAAACGACCTCTTGGACATCGTAGCCCTTGCCTGCCAGCGCCTTTGCGTTTTCTCTAACATTCTTCAGTTCCATAGCCAATAGCTCCTCAACCATGTATGATTTATCCTCTCTGAACACATGACTCTCAAAGCTGACTGTTGGGCGTCCCTCTGTGGCAGTAACCTCGAGGGCTGGATACCTCTCCTTGTACGTGGCGACCACATCATCCTCACTCGAGATGCCCAAAAGGTGCTTCAGATTAGGGTACACATCGCCAGGGAACCGTGCCTGTAGCGCAATTGCATCGCCACCGTAGAAGCGTTCGGGATAAGAGCCTGCAGGGAGGGCACCGCCTTTGGATGGCTTGAAGGCAATGGCCGCAGTCTCCTTGCGCTTCGAGTCCTTTGTGAGGACAATCTCTAGAGGATTTCCGGGCTTCACAAGCGCAGCCTTGATGTATTCGGTACCGAGATCAACACCGATGATAGCTGACGCAGCGGAGGCGGTCGACGAGAAGAGGAATGCGAGACCGAGGAGGATAGTTGCGGGCGAGAGATGGCCTCTCCGGCGTCCGGGTGGCGCCATGTTGTGTGAGGAAAGAGGCAATGTGTCGCTAACCGCAGGCGCGGGACACTTGTAGTGGGATGTGCGGGCTCCGCAGGGCACAAGTAGGGTATATAGTGTTCAAGAACAGACGAGGACGTAGAATAGAGGAGAAGAGTGAGGAAAGAAAGGGAATCAATCCCAGTAAAAAGCGGTGAGTAGGGTGTTGGCCGGGATCGTGATTGACAAAACGTGGAAACGTGGAATGGTGGTGGTTTCGTAGTAAAATGCAGCCAAGAGCTACCCTGTTCTGACACTATTTGACACCTGGTCTTTCTCAAGAGGCCAGCTTGACTTTTGAGCACCAACCCACGTCACAAATTAAACAGTCATCTTAAGCAAGGCTAATTTAACGGCTGCCTAGATCATTTTGCAAAAAGACATATGTGGTCTTATCTTCGTCTACAAGGTCGAGCACTCGATGTGGCGGCTTTCGAGATCCTATGCTTACTCCAGCTAAGCCAATCACATCGCCAGGAAGCATGTCTTCGCCGCATTGTATATCAGCGACGCTGTTGAGCTCGCGATCTGGGGCTGCACTCTGTCTTCAGTTGTGCTCTACATAAGCATGCATTGAATGACTTGCATCGTCAATGCCTAGACGTCATGGGCCCGGTCGAGTAAAGATGATAGCGTGTCCTTTCGTCGATGGGTGGTGCCGGTCCATCATATCCCACGGTTAAACTCCACTAATCCATCCTTGCCGCCTCGCTCATGAAACTCAGGCTCCAAAGATTTTGCGCTAACGGCCTGGCGTTGCGGAAATGCAGCGAGCGCAAGCGGGAGTGCAAAGATGGAAGTGGTAAAAATAAGGCCTGTTCGCACCTTAGCGGGTGCTGTCGTCATGTCACTGCATTTCACTTTCGACTCACCCAAGTTGATTGGAGTTACCATTCTTGGCCTCTGCTTGAGCCACTCTGTCTTCTGTAATCGGACAAGGACGAGAGGCGGCAGAACCATGATGGGCGTAGCATTGAGCACTCGACTCAGCGCCGTCTCTCCCACAGCAAGCGTTGCAGCTTTCTTGCTTTTACCTAGGGGCTTGACCTCGAGATCACCAGTCTCCACCCTATGCCTGTCGATCTCCGACAACGCTGGGTAAACATCGATGCCCTGCCTAATCTCCTCACCGCGCATGAGGAAGACGTTGAGAGCACCTGCTGTAGCAACAGCTGCGAATGGTACCAAACGCCCTGCGATGAGTTTTGCATTTGGCGATAGGCTCTTGAGGCGGGGTACTAGTGCGTTTAGGCCAACAGCAACACCACAGGATGCGCTGACAGCAAGGAGGTATGATTTGACAATAGTCGAGGTCGAGAGAGGAATCGACTTGTTCGCGTTGGAGAAGTTGATTCCGACATTGACCGACTGGTTCGTCACTTGCCATCCGAGTGTTCCTGCAGTCTGTTTCTGCTCAGCATATCGTCTACCCAACACAATGCAGAGTTGCATACCCCAAGGCCTGGTGTGAGCATGCCAGCCGTGACAACCAAGTTTGTCAATACGAAGCAGGACATGCGAAAGGGCAGGAAGACTGGTTTTCCCGTATCTTGGAATCTGTCAGCGTCTCCCCCTCATTGTGTTCCTTCCCCAGAGTAATGTACCTGGGTGAATTGTTGAATCAATTATCTTCTTTGCGTCCCAGAGCTCCGGTGTCATTTCTGCCATCTTGCCTGTCTTGTAGGCGGTGACGAGCTTCTTCGCATTTTCGAGACCAGCGGCGGATGTGAGTAACGTCCTGCGTCATGTATGGTCAACCTAGGCTTTGCTAGAGAGATGGTGCGCGCTGGGAACAACAAAGGTGCGGTCGAGAAACTAAAGGTAGTGGTACTCACTACACCCAAGTTGCGCAAGCAAATCCATTCGGTGCGCAATGACTCTCACCTCGGGTCTGAAATATTGGCAGAGTGCCGCACGCGACCCCAGTAGGTGCTGAGGTCAAATTGCGACACAGGCAGATCGCGGTTGCCAGGCAAAGAAGACGTCATGTTGATGAGTGCACGACGCACCAAATCGCAATGGGAGCGAGCAAGGTTTCAAAAATATGTGAACTGGGCCGGAGAGATGTAATCGTGCGGGTAAGTACAGACGCAACGATATCGGCAGCGATACTCGCGGGAACTAACCACAAACGTCATAACTGCATTTTTTGGCGCGACTTCAAGTCGACTACGAAAACCGCCCCTCCCATATAGCAATGTTTGTCTAAAATGATATAAAGCCCGAATGCATATAAATGCGACAACGCGACAAAGATTACAAAAGCCCGCCTATGCTATTCCATCATGCATTTACCAAACATTACGCGGTATCAACGAACAGTTTGAAAAAACAAAATCAAGATCAAAACTTCACATGCTACATTCCCATGCCATAGCGGTCTCTCTTGTCATTGTCTGCTCATTTCTTCTTCTTCTTCTTGGACTGGGGGCTCGAAGGTGAAGTTCCCAATATGTCGTCAAATGTCTTACTCGGGTCACTGCTCGATTCGGGTCTTCGCGAAGGCGAACCGGTCGACATGGGTGGGGCAACACCTGGAGGTAACGGTAGCGCCTCAAGCCCCAGATTCATGACGCTCTCACGGCGTCTGTCGGGGCTCTGAGACCGGTCACGGATGTTAGTCCCCGAAGGATCGAGCAGTCCAGGAGGCGGCAGGAGCGAAGCGTGCCCGTTCAATTCTTGCATGGCGGCATTCAACAACGTGTCGTCAGCCGCCCAAAGTTGCGCCTTCTTCCAGCAGTGGGACCGCCGGAATACACCTTCGACTCCGTGTTCGACAATGTCCGCGGGTAAGCTAACCACCTGCGCGCCTCCCGCAACGCCAAACCACGTCCGTGTCCGTACTGTATCCTCACGGGCCCATGGCACACCGCTTCGAGGTACTTCACACAGAAAGTACTCGACGCCTTCGGTGAATCTGACACCGGGTGCATCGACCACTAACATGGGTAGCGATTGTATAACGGCATAGAGGAACAGCCATTGTCCTGTCCGTAGATCCCAAAGATCGTCCAATGAAGAGCCCGCAGCGTGCTTGGATTCAAACACACGGAATGCATCCAAAAACGGCGTCTGCTGTTCAGAATCGGCGTTGTGCGATTCTTTCAGCAGCTTGGCAATTTCGTCCTTGTGTATCTTCTTTCCTCGCGCTTTTGCATCCTGCTTCGCGTTTCCAGTCATGGCGTTTGGCAATGTAGGATATAGCGGTAGATCGAAGGGTATTGGTGGCTGCACAGGCGGAGTACTGCGGTCGTACTCGCTCAGGACTTTCCTAAGCGTACGTGAGACGACCGATTTAATGTCTGTGCCTTCATCCTCAGCAATGAAGCCGTCGGCCGTGCGATTCGTCAGATTCTTCCTGTCTACGAGAAGGTCATAGAGACTAGACATGTCGCGGTATATTTCCAACAGCACCAGCCGGTTGAGACCACTTGTCGTAAGATCGTTTTTCTTTGACTTAGCCTTGGGCAGCCATGAGCCATATTTGTGCCTGTAATAATCGAGAATGAATGACCGGGTCGTGTTGAAAGCAGCTCTCCACTTCTTAAAGCTTATGACCTTGCCCTCGGAGGCCATGGCACTGTTCATGATTCCGGAGAAGATGGCTGGAAATTCAAAGTCTTTGAGCTTTCCATTAATGGTGGCTTCTCGGTTGTCGAGATCCATGGCAGCCCGTTGGAGTCGTGTGGCCGTCTTGGCGCTGATCATGGCGAATTTTGGAGAGTTGTATTCCTTGATGCTGTCGTATTTCCCAGCAGCGTGAACAAAGCCTTCAGTGAAGAGTCCCATGGAACGCAGCTTTTCGCCAAGAACAATTGCTTCAATAGTTTTCTCGCGGCTGTGTCGCACATCGGCCAGTGCCAACTCGTCAACATAGCAGTCGAAGCTCGAGGCAGCAACTTCACCAAAGGTAGAACCGTCGACGTTGGAGAAGGCATAGTGGGACAATATGTCTCCTATTCGCAGGAAAATGTCGAAAATGTCCGAATGGCGTTCAGTGGCAACTAGCGATTGCCCGATGAGAAAAGCGAAGAAATTACGGTAGCTGACCAAGGTATCAGTGTCCTGGGTGTTGAGCCGGGACTCGTGTGGCGTGATGGCGGAGTCTGAACTTAGTGAGATGGGCATGTACAGATGCTTTTCTGAGTAGTCATCTTCGACAGCATCGCTGAGCGCTCTTGAGCCTTTGGACTCGTCGGAACTTCCTATTTGGCTCTGCTCGGGGGATGCAGCCCTGGAGTGGTCGGGATAGGGTTCGCCAGAGACGCGGCGTGACGTTCGCTCGGCTAGCTCGAGAGGAGGAATGGCGCTAACGTCACTGTAGAGGCTGCCGTGCACGAGGCGTGTGAGCAACTGCGAAGCTGCATAGACAGAAGAGTCGATACGGAAGGAAGCACCTTTTTCAGAAGTCCGGGGAAATAGGTATACAAAGGTATCACCTGTTTCATCCCACAACTCGGACACCTGTTGTAATGTCAGCGCACTCGATACCGCTGCAATAGCTAGCACCAACGGCCTACCTTTTCGCCATCCAGCAACGCTTTCAGGTCATATGGCACCTTGCCCTTGTGTCCGACAATCCACGCTGGCGGGTTGCCATTGGCAGCATTCCCTGACCCGGCCGGATCGGCTCCGTTGGCCGGCCCGCCTCCAAACAGGATGCTTTTTCTGCGCAGTTTTTTCAGCCGACCCTCGGGGTTTGGGTCTAAGCCCGGGGTGGAGGGGCGGCTATTGGACGGGGTGGATGGATGCGAAGAGACGTCGAGCAATGGCGGCGGCTCAAGGGGCTCAAGATCAGCGGGGACGACGGGGTGGAGGTTGGGGTTTGCGAGGGAACCCGGGTTGGGCGACTTGGGCGACTTGGGGGCGGCGGGTTGCGGGGGTTCTGGGGTGAGGAGGTTGGCAGAGGAGATACGGTTGCGAACTTTGGAGAAGCGGCTGCTCGATTCTGACGACGGGGCTGGGCTGCTCTTGATAGATGCTGCCGATGACTCGGAGGATGATCCGACGGAGAAGAGGCTCGACAGGCGGTTGGACGCCTTCTTCTTTTCGCCCAACATGGCGATGGCAGGTGCGAGTGCTACGGTAATACGTGGCACAGAGAGCCGTGGAGAGGTGTAGGAGGTGGAATGGTCGAGGTTGGAGAATGTGCTATGTGTCGAGCAGCATGGGTTCAGTGAGGACACAGTGAGCAGCAGCAGCAGCAGCAGCAGCAATACAAGTCTCTATGCACGCAGGGCCCGGCTGATGGGAGAGGTTTATAACGCACGGTAGGCTCAAAGCTCTGTGAAAAAGACTAGGTGATCTATATTTGATCTGTCGCAGGTGCGGCAGTGTCACGACCATGCTCGTGCGTGCACCGGCAGCGTCCCGGGGCCAGTGGCCAACAACGTGGGTCATGCAGTGCCGGCTCCCATTGGCCTCCAGCCCTCAACTGTCACGATGCCTCCTCTACAGTGTGCGGGTACCATGGCACCCCAGTCCCCCACTGGACAAACCCCCTTTGCGCCCTGTCCAAGACCCTTTTGCGCGTGCCGGTTTAGGCCCTGCGCCTCGTATTGCGGCCAAAGGGCCCGCCTCGTCTCCCAGACAGGCCCATGCCCATTCGCATTGTGCCATTGCCACTACCACTGCCACTGTCACTGCTACCGTTTCGCCCTCACTCTCCGCCTGTTCACGAGGAGCAACTCTCCCCAGCGGCTCACAACGGCCCCTTTGCTGCCTGTATACAGCACGGCGCCCGGCTGCTGATGCTTAGGCGCAAGAAACTAGGGCCTGGGGGAACGTCCGCAGGGAAATTTTAGCGATGCGGATGACGTACCACTTCCCGTATCGATAGTGTGCATCATGAGCGTGTCACACACGCACCTTAAGCCACATCCCCCATGTCAGGCCTATGTAGGAACGTGGTTTAGATCAACACACCTGTGCCACACATACTACACACACGCCCAAGACAATTGATTCCTTCTTCACACCCTCCTCTGACACGCCTTGTCGGGCATTGCAGACCACGTTGCCCCGCCCAGGAACAGAGTCGTCCCATACCTGCACGCTAGCCACTTCGGTCCCTGGTTGCACACCCCACCGCCTTACTCACCATCGCTCAATCCGGCGCCATCAGCACTCGATACTCGTTCCAACATGGGCGGTGGCGAAACAATTGCAGATCAGATCCTGAAGACCTTTGTGCTCCCTGACGTGGCCGCATCCAAAACTAGCTCCAAAAAGCTCATCAATCTTCTGCGAGGGCACGTCCATCTCTGTGCCCACATGTTCACTTTCGGACAAGACGCGGCCCAATAAGACCCTTTGCCCCCCGAGTCATTTACTAACGGCACCAGATGGCCTAATCTGTCTTTGCTCCCTACGCAATTGCTCGATAGAGCATCCCATAACGTGCTCCAGCACAAGTCCACTGCCTACCCGGCTCTGTGCTACGGGCCAGATGCCGGTGACCCGCGACTGCGTGACAACGTTGCGCAATGGCTGACTACCTTCTACAAGCCGGCCGACCCAGTGTCTGCGGAGCGAATATGCATTTCCGGAGGTGCTTCGCAAAACTTGGCCTGCTTACTCCAAGACTTCACAGACCCCTTGTATACGAGAAACATATGGATCATAGCACCGGCGTACATGCTGGCTTTTCGCATCTTTGAAGATGCTGGCTTCCACAAAAAGCTTCGGGCCGTTCCTGAAGATGATGAGGGCATCGACATGGACTATTTGAGAAGTGAAATTAAAAAAAGTGAAGACAACGCAATTGCAGACAACAACAATGAGCCGGTGCGTGTATTTTCTTTCCCTTGTCTTGTAGTATGGTCTATTTGCAAACTCTCTCTCTCTCATCGAACCTCATGGCCAATGTTGATTTCGAGCCCGTGGCATCTCACAAGCTGAATTGTATTTGCCCACCTCCACTGACAACATCGCCAGCTTCTGAAGCCTCCGCGCCCATTTAACAAAATATACAAACACATCATCTACGCTGTGCCAGGCTTCTCGAATCCTAGCTCCAAAACAATGAGCCTGCGGAGAAGAGAAGAACTTGTGCACTTGGC